CTTCCATTGTTTTACCTTCAGCCTCTGTTCCATTTTTCTTTCTAGCTGAACTGGTGGTCTCTTGAGGCTCTGTACGGCTCATCACAATTAAGGACTCAGCAGCTGCTAGAGCACCAGAGTAGTCGTTTGGTCGCGTCCTTGGCTGGAGGCTCAAAATTGCCCGATCCTGCGTCAGTATCTGCCCAGTGTTCATCCGGGGAGTCTATGATGCCACACGGGCTCTTACAGTCCCGCTGCCATCCATCTCACCACAGGAGTTGGCCTTCCGTGATCTCCTTTCTAGTGATAAGCTAAGAGATAGAGGGCGTTCTTTGCTGGCCTGATAGCTCATACAGTACATGCAACTCCAACTGCCAATCTGTACGATCAGCTATTTCAATACAGCCAAACTCGGTTGCCAAAATGAATCTCTCTTCCAGTCATTGACAACTAATTTAGCTGTTTGGTGTTTACTTCCCAAGAACAGTGTCTGAAACTGCTCTGACGCTCAACTAAAGATTAATGACTAATCACTAATAGACCGCGGATCGGATACCTAATCAGCACTGACCAAAGTTTATAATGAGTCTAATTAATGACTAGATGACCCGTTGCGGCTTCGCCCGCAAAAACAGAAAAGAAAATAGCACAAACGAAAGAAAAACCATAAGGAACTGCCCTATCATATGCCACTTCTTTCACAATAAGAAAAAGAAGAGCCTGAGAGCAGACCGAAACCCGCGTGCAAGAAGATAGGAGGGAATATGAACGGAACCTTTTTTTTTGTTTTGTTTGGGGAGCTGTTACCTTTGCAGCATCGTTTTAGTTTTGTGTTGTGTAAGAAATCTGAACTTTTCTGAGAAAATCCTGTCCGTTGTCCCATTGATGTTTTTGCTAAAGATTCAGATTCAGACTTTGTTTGCTGTGTTCTCTGAATATGGCTGTAATCAAGCGGTCTTGCATGTATGTATGCCCCGTGCTTGCTTGTTGAGTTTTAACGCTATGTGTGCAAGTGCATAAGCGTGTTGGTGAGTCTCAGTTTGGTGGGCTCGGATGATGTCATCGATGATTGGCCCGGGGAAGTTGTTGGAAGTCGCCTCCAACTATAGGAGTGCCACTGATGTTAAGCAGGTTTTGCATTGTATGAATGAAACAATCAGCATTCAATCTGCTTGGCAGTTGCTCTTCGGGTGGGGGACTTGTYGGKAGTAGCATTGACATGAGAGCCATAATGCCGGGCGTGCATCCTGGAAGATTTCCTGGAAGGAATAAGGCAAAGAAGAAACAAAATACCACGTGGCAGTCACATAATGGACAGCTTGGCACAGTCCCCCGCCTTCTCTCTCTCTCTCTCTCTCTCTCTCTCTCTCTCTCTCCCCTCCAACTATAGGAGTGCCACTGATGTTAAGCAGGTTTTGCATTGTATGAATGAAACAATCAGCATTCAATCTGCTTGGCAGTTGCTCTTCGGGTGGGGGACTTGT